CCCTCGTATTGCTCAAAAAAGACAAACTCCGTCACCGTAACTTGTACAATTCAACAAAAAATTTTGACTAAAAATATCATTTTCACAGAAAGTTTTGTAGCTTTAGGATCAAAACTATTTTCAGATTTAAAATCCCTACACCCAAATTAGGCAAGATCAAGTATTTTATATAAATGCAACAAAAAATTTGTTCCCCAGTGCAATTCTCTAAAAAAAAGTATAAATGACATTAGAATTAACAATTTATATTAAAAGCACTTTTAGTAATTTTCAATCGTTAATAGTTTCGTGGAGTAACTTTTTTCATTCATTAATATTTTTTAAAATAAGAAATATATATAATTAAAAAACTTCCTGTGTTAATTGATAACAATTAGATACCTAGAATTAATTGAATTAATTATTTTAAGTTTATCAAAATTAATATATTTTTCCGCCGTTAATTATAATTGCATCGGAAATACTTACAGTAACTGTGAATAAAAAGTATTTCTTATTTTTTTCACTCATTATATATATATATATATATATATTACTGACTTTATAATGTCATCAAGCCCTGCGGGATCTGTCTGATTCATTGAAACACTGTCTGAAGTGGCACCAAATATATGATAATAATTTTTTTCAAGTGTTTTTTTAATTCGTTCTCCACTGAATAATCAATATTTTATATGCATACTTCAACGTTTAAACCCGCATTATTAATCTGAATTATTTTAATTACTTTAATGAACTAAAATCTTTCCATTTCTATGGTTATGCTATATTTATAGTTAGAATTGAAGGTCCCAACCTATTTTCAAAAAATGTTTTAGCATTCTTTTTTCTTTAAAATATTAATAATTTTTAATTTCTTTATAGCAAAAAGAGGTACTATTTAAAATTTATTATAAATGTTAAATTTGTTTTGATAAAGAAAAAAAAATTCTTTTAATAACAGACGTTAAACAGCCGACCTAATTTTCGGGTTTACGACTACTAATGTTCAACTCCGTATCCTTGTAATTTTGAACCTAATCCGGAAGACGAGGGAACTCCTGGATCAAGTATTGGGGGAAATTTGCCTTCGTGGAGGGCTTTTTTGATGGAACTAACCCGCATTTGCGTTACATGGAGTGGAAAACCACGAGAATCTCTCGCGGCTGGCTTGATGGCAAAGAAACTCTAAGCTATGATCTGTCTACCACTGAGGATATATCACATCAGCACTGTGGTTGGTGCAAGCCCGATGCAGATTCGTATTGACTGGGATTCGAACCCGGTTCGCCTCTTTGGAAGGCGAACGCTGCATCTCCTGAGCCTTCACGGCTCTTGCTTACATTTTGGAATACTTTTAAAAGTGTAATTTTCCTAAGTTGTGAATTTTTTACTCTGAAAATTAAAAATGACACAGTTCTAATGATCCTAGGCCCAAGTTCACCATTATCGGGATCTGAATTTTATTCGAAACACTTTCGGTAACTGTTAATAAGAATTAGTTCCCTTGAGTAACCTTGACATTCGAAACACTTCCTGCATTAAAAATTACATAAAACTTGACACCTCCATGTCAGGTATTATGTCACCTGAATGTCCTAAGAAACACCTTCGAAGACTGTTTGAAGAATAAGTTTCTTAGAGTAACTTTGACATTAAAACCCTTTCCGCATTAGAAATGACATTAAAACACCTGAATGTCATTAGAAACATTTTCGGTGACTGTTAATAAGAACAAGTTTCTTAGAGTAACTTTGACATTAGAAATCCTTTCCGCATTAGAAATGATATTGAAACATCTGAATGTCAATAAAAGTCTTTTTAGGTGACTGTTAATAAGAATAAGTTTCTTAGAGTAACTTTGACATTAGAAATCCTTTCCTCATTAGAAATGACATTGAAACACCTGAATGTCATTTAAAACCACTTTCGGTAACTGTTAATAAGAATAAGTTTCTAAGAGTAACTTTGACATTAGAAACACCTGAATGTCATTAGAAACCACTTTCGGTGACTGTTAATAAGAATAAGCTTCTTAGAGTAACTTTAACATTAGAAGCACCTGAATGTCAATAGAAACCACTTTCGGTGACTGTTAATAAGAATTTGACATTAGAAACACCTGAATGTCATTAGAAACCACTTTCGGTGACTGTTAATATGAATAAGCTTCTTAGAGTAACTTTGACATTAGAAGCACCTGAATGTCAATAGAAACCACTTTCGGTAACTGTTAATAAGAATAAGTTTCTTAGAGTAACTTTGACATTAGAAGCACCTGAATGTCATTAGAAACACCCTCGATAACTTTTACTAAGAATTAGTTTCCGTGAGTTCTTTTTCTCTTAATTAAGTTTTTTAAAATATGAAATTAAAGTTATATTGTAGAATTAAGTAATAGGTTTCAAGTGTTCAAATCCACATCAAATTTATAAATTTAAAATAGTACACCAGGATTTCTTTTAAAATTTACAGCATTTGGATTTTTTTCCTCGTGCAGGACAAATAAAATGCACTTCTCAGAATTCCTTCAATACTTTTTAAATTTCCATAATATTTACTAAGCTTATTTATCTTGGTTCATTGTCCTATATCCAAGTTACTTAAGATTGCGAATGATTTTAAAACAGTCTTTTTAAAAAAATTTAAAACTAGACTGAAAAACTTAAAATATAGAAACAGATATTTTTAATATTGATTTTTTTTTTCGTGTAAGAAAAAGAAGTACGTGTTTCTGATTTCTCATAACCTTTGTATTTGAAATATAATTTAGAATAATTTTCAAAAATATTTACATAACTTAGACGGCTTGTCTATTTTTTCCGTCAAAAAATTAGAAAATAATCCATTATTTGTTAAATATTTCATGATAAATCATTCATTTAAGCGGGTTTTGAAACTTTTGAAGTTATTGTCAATGCGACGATATTCCATGTACATTATATTTAATATCCATCATTTTTGAAAAATACTCTATAAATATGTATCTAATAACCATTTAAAAAATTTACTAATTTAGTGTTAATATCTATTGCGAAAACAAAGCCTTTTTGCTCCAGTTTTCACTTAGTATTATGCTAACTTATTTATTCTTTATGTCAAAATATGTTAAACATTTTTCATTCATCAAATTGAGTGTACACCTTGATAGCACAAGAGCCGGAATCGGTTAAACTGCACCAAACTGAAACTAGTTTAATAGTTTTCAATTATCATAATAACATGGTATATACATAATATAAATATATATATGCTATTAACATAATTTTTTTCCGTAATAATACATGAAAATTAATTAAAATGTTACAATAAGTAAAACCAATAAGAAAGAATAAGAGGAAACTATGTAAGAGCAACAGGTTTCTATCCAAATTTAAACAATTAAAGTCTCAAATATTAACAATGTTATGCATTTTATCAGTTATATAGGTAGGTCTTACGTTTGAAAAATATATACAAGTTATTTAGTATTCATTTAGGTCTTTATTTATCAATCTTTAAATTTACTCTTGGTGAAATCTACGATTTTTGCTTGTTCAAAACAATCAGTTTAATATGTTGTGCTGCCATCTACTTGCAGAATAAGAAAATAAATATTGTCTAAAAATGCAACAAACGTTTTTAAAATGTTATACTTTAATTAAAATATACTTTTAAATGCCTTAACTTATAAATTAATAACCTTTATTTCTTTTATGATGTGATGTTTTGTTCATTAGCGTATTTAAAGGTCTTATTTATTATGGGACAAACATTATATTTATATTACGTTATTAATGCATTATTTTTGCGTGCATGCGTGTTCGTGTTCCTATCGCATAACAGCATAAAAACATGAGAAATCATTTAACAATATAAATAACGTTTAATTAAGGAAGAAATTGATATTTTTAAACCATGTGACTAATTGTAGAGTTTAAACCATAAGTACGCGGAGAAAGAAGACAATCTTCTCAGGTCATCTTTTTTACCTGGGGGATTGACAATTCGTGGTTTTCCATCTTTATGCATTTTGCCCTATGAAAGTATATATCCCAGAACAAAATTCTCAAAATTTATAATTTGATATCTTCCTTGTTAACGCAGCAAAATATAACAAAACGTACTCTAACTCTCTTAAGTAAAAATTATAAATATCATACAGATTTTTAATAGTAAATATAATCTCATTGGATTGTTTTACTTGTTAATTTATTTCAATTATATTCATTTATATATTAATTATCCATAAATTTGATTGTTGTTGTAGTTCATTTACGTCGCACTAGAGCTGCACAATGGGCTGTTGGCGACGGTCTGGGAAACATCCCTGAGGATGATCCGAAGACATGCCATCACAATTTTGATCCTCTGCAGAGGGGATGGCACCCCCCGTTTCGGTAGCCCAACGACCTGCACGCGAATTCGAGCACTTTACGGTAGCACAGTTTAACGAGGACCAATACCGCACACCCTC